AGCTCTGGCTCAGCCCTGAAACCAAATTATGTTTGTTAGCATCCTTAAATTTTCTGAATGACTTCAACATATGTCAAGCTTCTACTCCCTCTCTGGGGCCATAACTTTGGTTGTATTTTAAACCTCCCTAGGATAACCTATGTGCCTTTCTTCTATCAGATAGTCTCTTCAAATAAACTTCAGTGAAAGCTGGAGATTTTGCAGCTTTGTGTCACACAATTTCTGCATTTTGTAAATAATGCAAGACCTTCTATCTTCAGAAATGCAATATTAAAGGTTTGCTGGCTTCAATGGCTGGTACCTAGATACAACACACATCCATCCTTTGTACGCTTTCTATTTCCTGCTCTTGTTAAGATGAAAGAAATGCAAGATATTTTCAGTCTCTACACTTTCACTCAAAAATTCCGCTTGGGTTTAATTTTCAAAGTGTCCTGCATTAACTGTTACTGTAATTTTATATTTATATTTATTGTTAAGGTTCTGCATATCCAAAGAATTAGTATTTCTCCCCCAGGAAAGATACAGCCTGCCTCTTACACCAGCAGTATTGCTTTTGGCACAGTTAGTGAATGAATATTCACAATCATCACAGATATTCCAACTGAATAGGAAATTCAGTGTCACATTTGACATTATTTTGAATGAGAAGAATATGCACAAAGAGTTTGATTCTTATTATGCTCAGGAAAAACAGGAAGTTTTTTCTTAAAGTGCAGCCAAAAAATGGACTATTGCTTCTCCCATGGCTGGGTTTTGTTCACAAATGTTTTCCCTCCAAATAATATCCATCTTCCTGTGTTTACATTCATATACCAGCAAAAAAACACCCAATAAAGAGTTCCAAGCAGCCCTACAAAGTGTTCTGGCCTCTTTTGGTGGGGAGGTGGTGGGGGTGCTTAAAGGGGAGCCTGTTTTGTTTATGTCTGTGTGCACACATGCATGGAAAAGCTTTTAAATACCACAGATTTGGCTTCTTCTACATTGATCCAAAACCCAGTTTAGCTGTTAATGACATTCATACTAAATAAAAGCCAATGGTCATGCTCATCTCATTTAACATCTGATTTAATTTCACTCCACCTCCACCATCCTTCCTGCACAGAAGGGCCCTTGCACTGTTACTGCCCGGGTATCTTGGGTGTGCCCCCAACACAACTGCAACATTCTTTGTATTTCTTGAATTTTAATACTGCTTTGGAGATACTTAAACTCCTGTAATGTTTATCCTTTAGCTGCCAATAAAGTCCCATAACAATTTTTTTCCCAACCAAAATATTAATTTTAATATAATTCAGAGTTTATACATCAAAATGTCTCAAAAAGTTGATGGAAAAAAAAAACAAACTTCTTTACACAGAAACTGAATTTTAGACTGAGTTGCAGAATAAACCTTGGATTTAGGGCCCCTTAAACTCCCAGTCATTCCTAAGTTTCCCCATCTCCCCCAGTGGGTTTTTAGAAGGTCTCCATCTTTTGATTTCAGTTGTCCCAGGCCCTGTTAAGCTATAACCATAAAATATGAGTTTTACAATATGCTGCATTTTGTAAACCTTGAAGTAACTTCTGAAAAGCCAAAAAAACTGCCAAAAACCCTAAAACCACTGTGTTCAAACAACATGGTCAAGTGACTGTTAGAGGTATGAAATTACCGTGCAAAAAGTTGAAGTCGTGCCCAAACAAGAACACAACCACCACCTTTGGCACACTCAGCATAAAAACATTATAAAAATAGCCAAAAATATTGAAGAAACAACTTGCTAAAAGGCATAAAATCTAATACCAAATCCTTCCTGAAGAGGCAAAAGCAGGAAGCCTCCTAGCAGCTACAGGGCCAACAGAAGATCCAAAATTTCTTCAAATAATACACAAGCATTGAAAAAAACCTACAGAATTTGGGATTACTTTTGAGTACTTGTGTGGTGACATCTTCCCCCAGCCTGCTTTTTTTCTAATGAGGCAGGTACTTAAAGACACTGAAGATTCAATTGGAGGATTTTAAAACAAAATTAATAAAAATTCAAGAACAAATCCTGCTCTATTATTAACTGCAGCATTTAAACTAAAACTCCCTTTTCGAAGGAAGTTTCTACAAAGGTAATCACAGAATAAAACTATTCCCAGCAAAACTAAAATATTATTATTAAAACTAAGATATAAAATATTCTATTCTCAGTGATCACTAAAAAGAAGTTTAAAAGTGTAAACCAACACAAAAGAGAAACCTTTTATTTCCCAAAGAATTATTCAGCTAAAATTATCTGGTTTAACACACAATAATACCAAATAATTCTGAGGATACTTTTGATAAAGCTTGTGGGGAATTAGAGTTTAATTTTTTATTCAAGACTTTATTTTAATTCCAAATGTGATTTGATGAGTCAGCTATTCTCTGAAGTCATGTAACAATAAACATTAACCATTACTCAATGCCCACAGCAACCACTGTCTAATGTTATTCTTTTTTTCTTCTCCCCACAAAACGGAAAAAATTCCCTGTAGAAACTATTAGATTTGTGCCAAATTCATGACTCAAAGAAAAATTAAAATAAATAGACACGTGAAATTAAAAGAACAAAATGTTATATTGTGAAAACCACAGAAATTTAAACTGATTGTAGGTTTCTCTTACATACATCTTTTAAATACATTTACGGACAGGTGTAAATGTCTAAATGTAAAATGAAACATAAAATGAATGTGCATGTACACAGTTTATACATAGCATGAAAGTTGTATTGGTTGCTGATTTAAAAAAAAAATGTTAAGACAAAACCTGTTTGGAAACCTCCAAGAAGGGGGTAAAATCACTATTATAAATACAGTCTAGTCTGGGTTTAGTTACATCAAGGGACAGTGGTGATATTCTGTTAAAAAGCACTGTTCATCTTGAAGCTTTCTAAACCAAGGCATCTCCTAGAATTCAGACAGTACACTTATTTTCTAAATATTTAACAATGATGTATCTTAATGCCTTATTCTCTTCCTTGGCCATGGCAGTTTCACCTGAATGTTTGCAGATGTTCATGCCCCCATTCCCATGTCTTGTTGAGATCCAGCCAAGTCGCAAGTTTCATTCTTTCAACTTTTCCTACAACTTAATTTTCCATCCCTTTACTCCTTAATTAAATTCATGATTCACATCGTTGGATGTTCATATTTTAAACAAGAGTCAGGCATCAATACATTTTAGAACTGCACTAAACATAAAGTACATTATAAAATAAAACATTACGAGCTTCTGAAATGGAAAAAAGAATGGTATTGATTACAGAGGAGTTCTCACTTCCTGTAAACATTTCTATCTCTCTCTCTCTCACAGACATACACATACTTTAAAGGAAAACCAGAAACAAGAGTTTAATTAAACACCACTAGTCTGAATTTCAAACCCATGAACGAACAGATGGCCACACTTCACAATCCAGCAGCAGGCCACTCCAATTAACTGGGACTGGGATCAGGGTAATGTCATGGAAGCCAGAAGTTTAGAACCAAAAAAAAAATCCATATATGTGTGACAGTTGTAAACAGTATAACATTGAAGTACTTAGGATTATACAAAAGTGGTACCAGCAAAAAGAGAGGAAGCTAATATTTCAGACTGTCATTAAATCTAATCTCCTGTGAGGGCACCAGTGCTCACATGGACTTCAAATCCAGCTGACTTTGCAAAGAACAGCTTTAAAATATAATTAAAGTTGTCCACTTCAGCTCTTCCACAAACAAACAATCTCTAATATTGGACTTGTGCTCATGAATTAATTAAAACATGGTCCCAAACACTTGAATAGATTTAGTTACATCACTAAGCATTTATTAAACTAAAATCAATATGGTGTCCCTTGAGTAAAAATGTCTTCTGACACTGCTGGGTTCAGTAAAACCATCCCCTGAGTAAGCACCAAAAAGCACATCTGCTTTTACTGACATCAGAATTAAGGGTGACCATCTACACCAATTTTCAACAGTGCCAGGCAGACATGAGTACAGAGGAAATAAAAGCAATACAGGATATTACTGATGCGTCTATCAAATTTTAAATCTGTCACCTTGCTCCCCCCACTGTTTCTGCAGCAGGACTCCAGCTCTGCACTGCCCACGGGATACAGCTGGCATTACCCAAATCTCAACTCTGCAGGTTTTCTTCACCTCTCCCTACACTGGATGCTGATAACTCTGACCCCTGAGCAGGGACAATACCATAAATTTTGTAAGCTGACATAAACACTTATGAAAAAGAGTTGTATTTTTTTCTGATTGAGGCTGTTCATAAAATAAGTGGGAAGAACAAAAAAGTAAAAGCAACTCCTACATACCTTCAGCTTAAGACTTTTGTGTTCTGCAAGGCATCAAATAAACACAATATTTTTGTGTATCAAGGACCCTGAGCTTTCCAAAGAGAGCAGAAGCTCTCCTAATTCTTACATCACTTTGACAATTGCTGAATAAATATTTCCTGACACACTTATTTCAGTATTTTGGTTTTGCCTTTTCCCTTTCCTTTCAGAAGGAAAAGAGAGATGAAGAAAAAACTCACTTAAATACTCATCTGAAATAGTAATTAAATATTTTTGAGGAAAAAATGCTGCATGTAGAATTTCTGTATCAAAGGGCCCTCTGATTATCTCTGTCCTTTACACAAGGCTTCCATTCCCAGAGGTATTCTGCATTTAATACAATACTGGGCTAATAAGCACTTTTTCACAGGAGAACAGGCTCCCTAATATTTAACAAATCCAGCACATCCTTTCAGTGCAACATAAAACAGGATAAAAATTTTCATGGTTGCTAATTAACTAAAAAGGGCAATATAAGCAACCAACAAGAGATATAAATACAATACTGACAATAATAAATGATTCAAAGTAAATGAAACAAATAAATAAGTGATACAAATTTAGAATATAGTCTGGAAATTATGTTGGTATTTTAAATTTACAAACTAATTACAGAGGAAGATAGTAACTTCATTAAATATTTATAAAAGTAGTAAATACCTGAAGTACTCACAGCAGTGGAATAAGGGTTATGAGCTCCTGTATTTTCAGCCCAGCAGCCACAACCATAAAGAGCTGCCTAAGGAAAGAAGCACATTGTTCATAAATTTTAAGTGTGTGAGATTTTTGCTTTACTTCCTTTCCTTAAAAAAATATAAAAATAACCTCAAACCAACAACAACAACAAAAAAAGAAACCCAAGAAAAATGCAAGTATTAGTAAAAGATTAATAAGAATATCATAACCATATTGCAATTCCACTCCATTTTACTACATCCTTTTATTATTCTAGAGATCTGAGTGTTTGTCATAGAGACAGAATTCTAGCCTCGCTTAACAGAAAATGAGGGTAAAGATATAACCCTGCTCATATAAAGTCTCTTTCACTCTGCTATTCAAAAACACAAACAAAAAAAAAAAAATATCTTAAGTACATTTCAAAAGAGAACTGCTTTTTGGACAGCGGAAAATGTCAACAAAAAAATACAGCTGTACAGCAATGGAATACAAAATTTCTGCTGCACCTCAAAATCCCCTAACAACAATAAGGTGACACACCACAAATATGTCATTATAACATTAATAATAAATAGAACTATGCATAATTTATAATCATAATTATATATAACACATCATAAATACCTGATATGTTTTTATTACTTTTGCCCCTTTCTCCAATTCACAAAACCATTTAAAAATTAATTAGGACAGCTTCCCTAAATATTGAGGGAAATCTTGTTTCAAGACTAAGCATTTAAGATCATTTAAGCTCAAGAAATTAACTTAGTGATATCTCTGTCAAAAGGTAACTAACTACAGAACACCTTCCCTATCACAGTTTCATTACACTGATGAAGGACACTAAAACCACTTGCAAAGCAGTGCAGTGAAATTTCCTTCAGCATTTAACAAGAAGGGAGAACAGAAATCTACTGTCACAGCTCTTGCTTTTCACTACACCTGTTTGTGACACTGAACAATCATTCCCTGTTCAATTTTCGGCTGTTTGGATGGCCTGGAAAGGCCCGGGGTGACCTTGGGGCAGCCCGCGTTTCAAAGGATGAGAAGAGGCTTCAGTTCTTTTCTCGGTCTCGGTGTTTATTAATTGTTTATCTAAAAGATTTTCTCTCGGCCCGACAGAGGTCTGCTCAGCAGCCAGCCATGAGCACACTCCCCTCCCCTCCCCTCCGGGCAGTCA